TGTTGCTTAGAATGATTAGGTAAATTAAAATGTCTAGCGACTGGTTTCGATGTGTCCTTGTCATTCCTTTCCACGTCTCGAAGGTGTTCTCGGAATCGGTCACCTAGTCTTCTGCCTGTTTCGCCGATGTATATCTTTTTGCAATAAGTGCAAGTTATGTAATAGATTACATTGGCAGAGGTGCACGTGAAGTGATCGGTACTCTTAATGGATCGTTTAGGTCCCGATATTTTATCAGTGTTGTGAATGAAAAAGGACACGTTTTGCATCGTGCACGAGCACATTCAAAAGTGCCTCATGTTTTAATGATATAATGATAGACTTGATGTTATTTTTAGATGTGGATGCTCTTCTGTGATTTGGGCCGAGTCCAGGGAAATGAATATGATCAGGGTGACCACGTATCTGTGACTTTATCTCAGCTGAATGATAAAGTTGATGAACTAGAAATCAGGTATGGTTAGTCTGTGGCTTTATCTTAGCTGAATGATAAAGTTGCTGAACTAGAAATCAGGTATGGTCAGTCTGTGGATCTATTTTAGTTGGATGGTAAAGTTGATGAACAAGGAACTAGGTGTGGTGAGTCTGTGGCCTTGTCTTAGCTGGATAGTTGATGAAGAAGGAACTAGGTGTGGTCAGTCTGTGGCCTTGTCTTAGCTGGATAGTATAGTTGATGAACAAGGAACTGGGTGTGGTCAGTCTGTGGCCTTGTCTTAGCTGGATAGTATAGTTGATGAACATGGAACTAGGTGTGGTCAGTCTGTGGCCTTGTCTTAGCCGGATAGTATAGTTGATGAACACGGAACTAGGTATAGTCAGTATGTGGCTCTCACTGAGAACATTAGAGACACACTTGGCCACATCTCGTGTGCCACTTTTTTCCCATGTTTTGCTGAATTGAAACCAAGTAATAACCTTGAAGAAATTATTGAGAGGGGAATCATCTATAATGGTTTATTTGCCCAAATGTAATTGATGCACCCAATTCAATCCCTGCATGTGTCTCGTAACGAAATAACTTAAAAAAATCGTTTTGTTAAAATTATAATTTATGTCATACTACTGTGGGGATGACTTTCCTTCATTCACTCTCTCATTCATTCTCTCATTCATTCATTCATTCTCTCATTCATTCATTCACTCTCTCATTCATTCATTCACTCTCTCATTCATTCATTCACTCTCTCATTTCTCCTCTAACTCATTCAATCATATATTTATTGCTGTATTCATTTTCTGTTTATCAATTTACCTTTTTATGTCTATCTCGTCTATTACTTTTATTTAGATCAAAAGAGATGGAAAGAATTCTTAGCGAACACTTACAAGTTCTGAATGAGGTGAATCGTCGGCTGAGAGGTAACGAAGAAGGTACTAGGCGCAGAATTATGAACTGGTTTGGACTCCAGTGAAATAATTACAGGCTTGACTGACGATAGATGTTGTTCTGAGTGAAGAGCCGGTCTAACATGAACCGAGCCAGCCACTGCTCGGCATTTGAATAAAGGAAAAGTCTGATTAAGTTTTTATAAACGATTTACCGCAAAAAATTTCCTTCCATACCAGGTTATTTCTGTTTGGGTTACACTGAGAAAGCTGAATCCATGGGTGGATAGTGACGTCGTCTGTTCACAAGTTTAATTTTCCACTGTGTAAAAGTAGATCTCACTCGCTTTGTTTAAGATTAGGGACAGACACGTACCCATCGCCATCGGGCTGAATACCATATATGAAGGATTATTAAACATAACCGGCAGAACCAAGCTGAGTGGATTGAACCATAAGTTCTTACGAAACACGAATGAAACTCTCTTTTTACATGGACCAGTTTGGTCAGCATGCTCAGACTCGTTGGAACTAAAAGTGCTCGTCACAAGTTATGTTGGATGTTTCAATAGTTGTATTGCTTTTAATCGCTGATTATCTAAGGTTCTCAAGTTTGTTACGTATCTGACCAAGTTTAAGTTGTAGTGTACATCTTAAATCCCAATGTGGACGGACTGATTTAAAACAAAGTTCTTTTGCTCATTAAACTGGTGTAAAATCAAATGTTGTTAAATGGGTTCGGTGGCGTGAGCCGGCAAAGCCTACAGAAGCCTTCAAAGCTCTCTTAAAATCTTCTTTGAAGAAAGTGTAAAGAATCGGATTCAAAACTGATGAACCAAATCGAAGAAACATGAGTAAAACTCGTGCCCAGTGTGGCAGGTGAAGAACTTTAAGTTTCAAATCTTGGATCAAGCCGTCAAGAAAATACGGAAACCAGCATATTATGAAAGTTAAAATCATCATTCCAAATATAATTACTGCTTTCCCTTCCAGAGGGATCACTTTTCTGCGATAAGCTCTTGTTTTGTAACTGTCTACTGCCTTAATAGAAATCAATTGACGCCGCAAAACTAAGAAAATGCAGGTGAGAGCCACGCCTATTATCAGCAAACTTGGAACAACGATTCCAAAAAACACAGTTAATGAATATATAGTATCTAAACTTTGAATGAAATCATTGCTCGGGCCGAAATCCAGAGGAATCCAAGTCAGTTGAATGAGCGAGGCTCCCAGCGAGAAAAACCATAAAAATATAAGAACACTTATCAACCTAAACTTGGTGATAATGAATGGATAATGAATGGCGTAAATTATCATGCAATATCTCTCGATAGTCACCAAAAGCAGATGCAATACGGCAGAAATGGATATAAACCTGGACGATAAGTCCATAGCGGTACATATTTTCATCTTTGTTACCGTCTCATCCACCATATTGCACGATATCACCATGGGGATGGCAACTGAGCCAGCGAGCATGTCAGAAAAAGCCAAACAAACCAGACAAAGGTTCGTTTTGGTTTTTAAAAACGTCTTTCTTTTATAGAGGAAGATTACCATGGAGTTTGCGAGTACAATCAGCAGCCCAAGGAATGCCAAACATAGAAACACAGAAATATGTATTTGTGACAGGCCATCAGTACGAGAATAAGATCTGTTAGACACAGTGCTTTTCAAACTCCCGGATGTTTGGTTTACTTGACTGCTACAAGTGTGGCTCGTTTGACTCTTGCAAGAAAATAAAAAAGGAGGAAATTTTAAAATTCAGAGAGATAACTACACACGATGATTATTTCTTTTACTTAAATTTGTAAATTGTAACCGCTAAAAAACCCCTTAGGAGAGAAAGTGAAGACAAAAGTTGATGCAGTAAAGAACAAAGGTCCGACCTGACAGTTCAACAGCTATAACAGTTTGACAAAGTAAAGCAAACAAAAGCTTCATTATTTGCTCTGGTGAACAACAGATTTCGGATTTAACGTCTTCATAATTTTCAAATAGAAGAGAAGAGGCTTGGAAAAAGAGTTTTCTTTTTCTAAAGCGGCGATAAGAAAAAAAAGAACAATGGAAATAGAAAATGCAATATCTAATAAAACTGCGCTATCAACTGAAAAAGGTGGACTGAGAGGAAACTCAGATCCTTACCTCGTTGGTTCCTGCCATTTACAAGGGTTCTTAGGCTTTGAACAAATGTTTCCCAGCAGAATATTTATAGTTTCTTCTGTAGTCGCCGCCCCTCCGCCAGAATTTAATTAAATAGAGAAACCTTTAAGAGGCTGGATGCGCAAAAAAACGCTTGGTAGAAACTAAATGGAATGGGAAACGTTTGTGCCTGAGTGGTTTTTAACTGATATGTTTCCGTGTGTACGACTGAGATAAAAAGTTACGAAAAGATGATTCCTGTCGACCCACTGTTTATCTTCTTGGTAAAGAATATCAGTGGTGTGCCGAAAGTCAATAACAACTAAGTTTACTTTTCAGTTCAAATAAACTCAGTTGGAATTTGAATTTGAAAGAGTTAAGCATTTCGACCAAAAGTAAATAATTAATTCGAGTAATTGTTTTTTCCCGGCTGTTGTCTCCCCTTTTCAGGAAAAATAATTATCGGAAATGAAAAACACAACATTCATACGAACCAGCTGGCAACTAAACTTATCAAGTGAAAAAGTCACGAAAAATAAGTGATTTCACTGAGTAATGAAGATGAACAATTTAAATGTAAATTAAAAGTTCGATTTCTTTTATTATTTTAACTTAACCTTTTAGAGAGAGACGTGTTTCTAAAACGCTCTAATTTTAAGACTATTTCACAATCAAGGTTCAAACAAGATAAGGGGTTTTTTGAATTGAAATACTATATTTAAGCTTAAAAAAGAATACATTATATTCCCCTTTTTGCTTCTCTTTTTTTTCTGTCTTTGGTAGTTCGATTTAAATTCTCTATTAAATACATTCGGATGAATTTTATTCTAAAATGTAAGAGTATTGAACGGAGTATAGGGGAATCCTTGTTTACAATATTTGCCTCATTAGCATAAGCAATTCAGTTTCTGATGGAGCCAAAAATAAATCAGTTCTGAATATCGAAAGGTCAAAGTACGATTAACTCGGCCAATGAATACGAGCCTGATGCATTGAATACTTTTTGTGCAACACGGGTTTAAAAACTCAAAATTTTACATAGAATGTATGAGCTCATTAGCGCTTTTGCCACCCAGAAATTTTGCAGTTTTTGATGGACTATTTCTCCTTGAATATTACACCCAAAGAGCTAAAAATTTCACCATGTACTGAGGTTGTCTAGCTCTTTAGCTGCCTGAAGTCAATTTGTATCTAACATGCTTCCTTCTTTACGCAAAGCCGTATGCAAATAAGCAAAAATGTAAACAATGACGTCAGCACGAATCCACCTATTTCGTTGTACTATGAAATAATGAAAAAACTGAAAAAAAAAAAAAGAATGGCTTCGGGAGTGGTTACTTGTCAGTCTTTAAGTGATGGGCTGAGTTACATATGCATTTTGATTGGTTCTGATCTGATTGAGGACAGATCTATGGTTTACGTCATCATTAACAACATTTTACTTTTTTTTTATCATGTAAAACAAATAGACCCCCGTTGCCGTGATTGTACAGTAATAGGGTTTGCTTTTGGTCCTTGATATGAAATATGAAATTAACAAGTAGACTCTATTTTACCGCGGGTCTTTTTTGTAAGATTACGGATGAGGTCAAGATATGGAAAAAAAGTGCAAGTTACAAGTTGTCGTCATCTGTAATCTATCAATGAACAGACCCAACTTGGAATCTATTTGTTAATTCATTTTCAATCAAGGACCAAAACCAAACTTATCACAACAGCAATCAGTCCTTACAAACTCTCGCTATTATGATGTCAGTATAATTTATACCCCATAATTGCTTAGTAGATTAATTCGTAAAGGTTTACAGAGTCATATTTTGGCTTTAAACCTACTAAAGGTAGATAT